TCCCACAGGATTTTTGTCTTAACATAGAAAGTAAAATAAATAAATAAAAAAAAAAAAAAAAAAAAAAAAAAAAACCACTGGGGTATAGTTTAATGATTGAATATTTGCCTAGCATTTGAGACTCTAGTGTCAATCCTCAGTATCATAATACAATAAATCAATAAACAACAGCAAACCTCTAATCAAATGGAATCAAAATGGTAACTATTTGATAAAGGACACAATGCCAGACAAACGAGGAGGGGCCAATTCTGGATTGAAAAGAAACTGGTTTTAACCCCAAGGCCTCTTCCCCTTCATTAATTTCCTTCCATGCAGAAGAAGTCAATCTCTATTCCACATACGACTGCTAATTCATTTCTTCCATGTTTCTGGCTAAGGCCATTTGACTAGAATTTGATCTCCTTTATGGGAATTACCCAGCTCTGTTCTAGGAACCTAAGGTCAGAATGGCCCAGCTAACTCAGCTTCTCCGCTACTAAACTTCTTGCCATGCAGCTCTCGCCCCTCCCCAAACTAACCACTTTTCTTAGCTCCTGCTAAACCGGCTCTTCAAGCTACAATTCCCCTGGAGCTGCAGAGTGAGACGACAGGATGTGGATATTACCTTTCAAAGCCCCTATGTCACACTTGGGCCCCTAATACTTACCTGAGTATAGTTCAAGCCTGCTGGAATAAAGGCTTTCAGCTGGCTATAAATTGTAGAGTCCCTGTAAAAAAATGTTAACTTTTAAATAATTATTGGAGTAATTTATTGAAAGAAGATTTTCAATGAAGACAACTATAACTATTCTTTTTATTAGTTTCACTGATGCACAACTGTCCTATAAAATTAGGTAAATAGAAACTGTTTTATGTTTTTTTCTTTGAAGAAAAGATAGAAAGTAAAGAGAATATTATGTTTCTGGGTAAGTCAGAAAAATGGGTAGGTTTCCTTAGCTATTGGTGGCAGCTTTGTAAGTGACTGACAGAAAGGGTCCTTGAAGGATGAGCATACTATGTTGTTAAAGGGGTAGTTAATTCTCTCCTCTCTGAGGCATGTCTTCAAGTGAATCTGTGCGGAGCAGATCTACAAGACCATCTTGATTAACTATGGAGAGTTGAGACAATAGTAAGTAGTCTTTTAATCTTTATGGAAGGTCAGAATGTTATGTCTGAAGACCCAATCAGAGGTAGATTCTATTTTTTTTTTTTTTTTTGATCAGAATGAAATAGCTTTCTCTTAATAGTTTCCAACAGAGCCCTAACACCCATTCTTGGGGTTCTTCAAGTCTAATGTGGAAGGTCAAACTCTCAGGATTTGATCCCTTAAAGCCACTGGGAGATAGGCTGGAATTAGAGAACAGATAAAATGCATTTCTACCTTGAAAATCTAGAAGTTGTATTCTGAAATTGTTCACCAGAAAGGATTAGTGCTTAGACTGGAGTTTTGGTCACACCCCATATATAACCAGCAAGGGTAAGTACTTATTAAGGAAAAGAGATAACAAGAAAGGAGCATTCCTTTCTAGCATTCGTGGTCTCTGGGATGGTGTGCTGGTTTGAATATGAATTGTCCCCATGGGCTCATATAGGTGTGGCCTTGTTAGAGGAAATATTTGCTGGAGATGGGCTTAAAGATTTCAAGGGACCATATCCCAAGCCCAGACTAGGCTCCCTCCACCCCTTCCACCATAGGATGGCAATGTAGTTCTCAGCTACTGCTCCATTACTGTGTGTGCCACATCCCTCCTGCCATGATGATAATAGAATAAACCTCTGAAGCTCTAAGAAAGTCCCTAGTTAAATGATTTGCTGCATAAGAATTGCCTTAGTCATGGAGTTTCTTTATAGCCACTGAACAAGTCCCAAAACCAGCTGGGCAGAGGAAGTGATAGTTCTTGCTTTTAGCCAAATACAAGAATCAGAACAACTTCTTTTGGAGTCCCTGTCTCACCTCCTCTTTCTCCTGCCCTCATCTATGACAATAATTTAGTAATTACTCCCTTAATGAAATTCAAGCATTCATCATCTCCAGAACTTTTTCTTCTAATAGTTGTAATTGCCAATTTAGACTTTTGACACCATTCTGTCCACACCATCCACCCCAAGCCACTGGTTATTACTCCTGCCCTATGCTTCCTTGTGCATTGATTGTTTTGGTTAACATTCTTGCATTAGCTACTTGTCTATTTGTTGCAAAATAATATCTAACAAAAAAAATGGCTTAGGGATTTTAATTTGTTGTTCCTGGTATAGACAGCAGGAAGCCTTGACGACAGGAACCTGACTGGCTACTCACATCCCATCTAATAGGAAATAGAGAAACAGCTTCTTTTCTCTGTGTTTTTCATTCTGGGACTCCACATAATGTTAAAGTGCTGTGCATGTATCCCGTTGATCTTTCTACGTCCATTAACAAAATGCAGATCAGCCTTCACAGACATGTCCAAAGGTTTGTCTCAGTCAGTGATTTTCTATTTGTCTGCCACAACGGATATCGCAGATTCTTCATTGCCTCCTCCCTTTTTTCCTTCCTTGTTCTGGATTATTTTCTGACAGTGTAAATATTCACTCATGTACATTGTTGGAAGCAAAAGGATCTCCTATATGGGTAAATATTGTTCTATATTATTCATAGGTATTATGTATATTGTCACTTTTTTCTACTTATCCATCAATGGACATTTACATTGCTTCTGTATTTTCAGCATTATAACTCAGCAATGAACATGAAAGTGAATTCTGTATTTTTCCCCTCATACTCTCAAGTTAGATTACTGAATAAATATTTATTTTATTTGTAGTTTCTCCAGGAATCTTTGTATTATTTTTCCATGATTGCTGCACCATCTTATATTTCTGTTACCAATACACGTTCCCTCCCCTACATTTGTTGCATTTAGACTGCTTGCAAACTGGTATCCTAAGAAGATGAAGCCCTACCTCCTTGTGATTCCATTTCTATGTCCCTGGTGATTACCATCTTTAATAGACATGTATGTTCTATCCCTTTGTACCTCTGCAAATCACTTGTAAGTACAATGTATATGGAGACACTAACAGTCATCTGAGTAATATTGTTCTTGGGCACCTAAGCATATCTTAGGAATATATTCATATTTTCCTGCATTAATTTTTGGAAACAGTAATTAACAGCATTATTGAAGGAGCTCAAGGTTACATTGATAATTACAGAGAAAATATACTTAATTCTAGGAGTGTTTGCTACCAGAAGTTGCTTTGTTTTCAAGTTGGAAAAATTTCATTAAAGCATTGAATTGAGTTATGGACTTTGCCTTATAATTCACTTAAGTCAATCCTAAATGAAGGAATCAAACAAGGGTGATGTGTACAAGTATATTTGCACAAATTCAAATATATGGTTCTTTAGCAATTTGTTCATAAATTATGATGATGTTTATTTATATACAAATATCTTAAAATTATTGTTAGCCACATACATTTAAGTCATTTGGTCAGTTGCTTTCTCTGTTACAAGTGTATGCTTTTATAGCACTGGGTAAATTGTTAAATTTCAAACTTACACCAAGATATACTTCACAGGAACACTTTAACATTGCTATACTACAGTAAATGCTATTACAAACCACGCAGAAATGACTGTACTGTTTATGAGTATATGTGAGAAGGTTTTTAGGGATCATCAATCATATTGTCACAACAGGCAAACATTTGGTAATAAAAAGCCCATTTGAAGATGCTTTTCACTCAGGCAATAAAGGTTATGATATTTTTAAACTAGCAACTGAAACAAATGTCCAATTTCTCAAGCAAACACAGTTAGCTTATTTATCACTTAAGGAAGATATTACCTTACAGTACTAAAATTAAAAATAAACAGTTCTACAAATTTATGATAAGTTACCCTCATAAAAGAATTAGCACATGAAAATAAGCACTTTGTTATATTGCCATATAAGGAATTGATTTGTGTGGAGTAGAGGTCGCATACATCTGTCTTAGATTTGCAGGGTGGTCTGAACCATTGGGTGAAGCAGTGTTAAGAGAATATCCTGCAATGAGTACTGTCCGTAGCAGGAAAAATGATGGAGTCATTTTTACCTGCTAAATTTTCCGGAGCATTTCAATGTAATATTGTACTTTACATGAAATAGGATCAACAATCAAGAACATTTTTATATTGGATATGTTTTACAGAGTCTGTAACTAAGGAAATCTATTGGAAAATATCTACTGTCTCAGTATGATGAGACAGCGTGGAATGATGAGGATGGGAAAAAGGGAGGAAGGTACCTTGAAAGTACTGCTAGACATTATGATAGCTCATTTCATATCCAAACTCTCACAAATTATGTGAGAAGTGCATCCATTCAATAAAGGCAAAGACAGAAGTGGTTTCCCATGAATGTCCCAGTAGAGTGAGCTAAGTGTGATTCACAGGACTAACTATTTATCTGGTAATGACATTAAACAGAGTAATATTTCTGTTCAAAATAATATAATGGGCTTGTATGTATATGTGTGTTTGTATTTTGTTTTGTAGGAAGTTATTAGGAATTGTGATTTTATTCAATAGACCATTGGTCACTTACTCTATAAGAGAAATATCTATAACAACTGCTAGCTTTGATGATTGCTTAAAGGACTTAAAACTCAGGGAGAATTCAGTTCTTATTCTAAAGTTCATTTCACAGTAAAGATATAGATTAAAATCAGCAAAAAAGAAAATGCACATAGAGTGATGTATAATTTAAAAATATTTAAAATTTTATTAAAAATTATTTCATGAGTGTGTGTGTGTTGATGCATGCAAACAAGGGTACATGAATATCATGGACATGTGTAGAGGTCAGAAGACAACATTGAATGATGGTCCTTACCTTTTACCTCATTTAAAGAAAGGTTTCTTTTTTTGTTGCATATTTCTCTGTATTCCAGTCTTGTTGGCTCTTGACCTTTCCGTTATTGTCATGTTTCCAGCTCCCATCTTGTGGGAGGGCCGAGATTATAGATGTATGAGCAACAACACCCTACCCCCGGAGAGAGCACAAATGCAGTCCCCCACTACCACAGATTCTGCAGTTAAATGTCCTACATTTGGGGAAATCACAGAAGTCAGCACATTCAGAGTACAATGGATAAGCTTCTCCCTGGGAAAACCACCCTGTGATCATGGTATCTCCTCTGTTATGTTACTATGCAATGCCCAGATTTTACCTGAGTTCTGAATAGTCAAATTCAGGTCCTCTCCTCTCATGGCAAGCATCGTATACACTGAGCCGTCTCCCTACTCAGGATATTTGTCTTCTCCCAGGATAATCGCAAGTAGAGTGCTTCATTTTCTCAGCAACAATGCATAATAACACTTGCCAAGAGTTATGAATCAAGGACATTCATTCATGGATCAGTATTTTTTTTCAGGTAATCACAAAAATAGAACACTTGTATGCTGGTCTTTGCTCAGGACCAGAGATGAAGTTGATGGCGCATAATTCTAGGTAAACAAAACAACATTTACCATAAACAGGATTTCTCTATTACCTCTCTGAGTTGGTCCCACACTTAAAGTATTTGGAGACACATCTTCAGGCTATTTTGAGATTTGGAAGCTATCTTTCAAATGTGAGGCTGATACTGAAAATCTTTGCAATATGCTGTTTATAAGCATCCAAAGCTTGCTGAGATAACCCTTACTACCCATTAGAAGGCTATGAATACATCCTCATCTATGCTTCCAACCACAGGAAATTTAATATAACATGTTCTTCTTGGTACAGACTGAAGACATACATTTCATTAAGAACAGTAATTTCATAGCCTTTGGTCACTTTCTGTAGAAAGAAAATATATACACAGAATGCTCAGCTATAAAACTTATGCCAGAATTTGTCTTTCCATGGGGAATATTAGCGATTTAAGATTTATTGTGCAAGTTACCATTCAGGGTTTATCTACCAGAACACATGTACAACTAACCTTCAGGAATTAGGCAGAAAAATTGGAATTAAGGAGAGGCAGTGGCAAGCATAGCAGAGTCCAAGGACAGGGTGCTTATCAAGAGCACTGGACTCCATTAGACCCTTGGCCTGTCCAGGAATAAGGCACACTTGTTGTACATTAAGGTCAATCATCAACGTGATAGAACAAGTTGCCAATTTTATAATGATGTTTAACAATTTACTACCAATTTATTACCTTAAAGGAACATAAAGCTACTTTCCACTCAGTTCTCCAAATGAAAAGTGCAAAGCAGCTCCTATAGGATTAAAATTAATTTCTAGGTTAGAAGGTATTTGATGTGGAAGCTGCTAAGGAGAACATTTTATTTATTTTTAATAGTATCTTCCTACATCACAGGGGTCATGGCTCCTTGGTCCACCCTCAAAGTGCATCTCTCTAAACCTTGCCACTCTTCTACATTGTTGTCCCATTCTGACTTGTGTGTCCCTCCCTAGCTTTTTTTCCATATTAGAACCCTATGAACGTAGTGGACTTACCCAATGACCATATTCTACCTCCTTGTTCATCTCAAGTTCTTCGCCTAAATATATTGATAGATTCTCTTTCCATGTCGTGTAATATACTCACAAGATCAAGATTTAGAAAGGGTACTTTTAGTGATCATCATTTTAATCACTATAATATTAATATTGCACATGCCCAGGAATAAACAGCATTTGGTTAAATAAGGATCAGGATAAACAAATAGGCCGAATAGATGTTTATTCAGGGAGAAATAACTTACAACCTAGACAGATGAACACCAGGAAATTCCACCCGATGCTCTCCTGTCCCAGTCACACCAGCAAGAGAAACTTTTCCCGGCTCTCTCTCTGACCTCCTTCCACAGGTCACTTCCGCCCATGGCTCCATCCCCCAATGGGCGTGGTCAGTGCCACAGAAGGACTATCTCATTACAAAGGTCTCCTACCAAATGCTGCTGTTGAGGCTTTACTAACTAAGTCATTTTCTATAAGACTAAACCTATTGCTTTATTTACTCTGAATGGCCATTCACCAATGAATGGACCATGAATCCCCTAAGTCCCATCAATGTTTAAAAGATTTTTTTCATAGTTATGGGAGTTTAGAAAATCTACCATTAGTTCTCAAGAGAAGGCCATTATATTAAGGATCTGTTTAAGTTAATAAGTACCATAAAAGTTGCTTTAATAGCTGTCATTTTGTACACATTTAATATTGTGTGTGTGTGTGTGTGTGTGTGTGTGTGTGTGTGTGTAGAGAAAGAGGGGAGAGAGAGAAACCATTTGTCTACTGTATACAGTTATTGTTATAGCCTTTACAACAGATTTTGGTGTTTCTTAAAGTAGATACTGAGTCTAAGTGTCCACTACCCTGCCCTGACATGACTTTGGAAGCAGCCTAGAGTGACAGTATCTTCATGTAAAATATCAGATACACTTTTCCTCTCATAGTTTTATATCCACAATTGTTATTTTATTATAATATTAATATTTCAGGTTATATACTTTTGCAAGTTTTAAATAAATCACACTAAAGTGAAAAATATGGGGACTGGTGTTACTTTTTGATATTTAAATTTGAGGCAGCCTCAATTCTAACCTTGACATTCTGCTGGGGATGCAGGCATTTTGACTATCAACCATCTGTATTTGTGTTCATAATAAAAGAAGAAAAAATGTTTTATAAGTATTTGGAAAAGGACTAGTGATTGGCTTGTGGGGTGAAATAGTCCCTCATCTGAGCCCTGATTTCTCTAGCTCTCTAGAGGAATCATTAACCTGATCCTTGATTTCCAAATATTTCTGGACCCATTAAGGTGAAGATGGGACTCTGGGGACAGCCTTTTCTCCTCTCTGCTGTCTAAGTGAGATGTGCAGCTTTCACATCAAGAATCTCCCATATAAGTTTATATCATGTAGACTCTAGATGTGAGTTTCTGTATTTTCTTGAAATTGTTTCCAGAACTTTTTCTTAGAGCACACACACAGCACTAAGGAAGAAAGAAAGGTATTTTTAGCATCAATTCACTCTTCTGAGAGCTGAGCACTGGCTCTCCACTCTTGAACTATGGTTTAACAGACCAGGCACTGTGCTTGGTCCTTGAAGTTTTGGATTCATTGTATTCAAAGTTGTAACTGTAATTGACAAATGTGCAAAGTTCCCTTAAATTTATCTTTTTAAAAGGCTGAGGCTCTTCATCATCTTCCCATTGTTTCAAAAATAGGGCAATAGCATGTTCCAGATCTTAACTCTGTGGGCAGACATTTCTCTCTGACAGCAAGCATAAAAAAAATCAACCTGTGGTATTATAAACACAAAATAATGAAACTTGTTTGGAATTTACTCTTCTTTCTACAATTAAGCATATTGTGCCTGATACAAGTCTTCTCTGGAATCCTAGGATGGTGACATAGAATGATCAAGCTACCACATCCTAATAAAAGTAAAAATGCCCTTTGTTGCATGAAACAATTTGATTTTAAAATCAGATTTACAAAAGTGTAACCATTTTGTTATGTCTTAGATACATTTATGTATGTTTGTCACAGGTTCAAATAATCAGCAACAGTAGTGATCAACACCTGAATAATTGTTTTTCTTTCTAAAGGCAAATAAATATGTCATTAAATTTAGTTATTTTCTTGTTCATGTGTGTACATTCACATGGACACAGGTGCTTGAATGTAATATGAGTGTGTGTATGGAGGCCAAAGGGCAGTCTCAGGTGTCATCTCTAATAAGACCATCCATCTTCTGTGAAATACAGTCTCTCCTTGGCCAGGCACTCTCTAATTGGTTTATACTGCCTGGCCAGTAATCTCCAAAGACTCTTTCCTGTCCACCTCCTCAGCACTGTTATATTGAATGTACATGTGGAGACACCTGCCATCTTTAACTTGGGTCTAGAGATACAACCCAGCCAGGTCCTTGTGTTTGTGAGGCAAGGACTTTACCAACTAAGCCACCTCACCAGTCCTGCATGATTCTTCCTTCAGCACTGTTAAAAGTGATTATAAAAGCTGTTATTTAACGATAGTGGTGGACATGCATAGGTCTTGATTGTGGTGAGGATTACATAAATATATGCACATGCTTAAATTCATTGATGGCATATGTTAAACTACATGAAGAATTTGTCTATTTCTTGTACCTTAATAAAATTGCTAAAAATAAATTGATAACACTCTGAAGTTAGGCTTTATGCCACCATGCTACATTTTCAGTCATCATATTTGAAACATGTTTAAAAGTCCAATAATTGGATTTTAATTTACTCATATACTTGATGGTAGAATCAGAGAAAATTAGACATTGTGGTAAATTTACCTTGTAGTGCTCTTGTAGTATGCAGGAAAAATTACTTGATTAGCGTTTCAATAGTAAACTAAAGTTTGTTTTGTTGTTGTTGCTTGACAATTAAATGGTCAGTTTCACATAAAATCTTAATAATTTCAAGCTCCCTGATAATATTTACCAAGAATGCCAAGTTGTATGCAGTATATAATGATGAATCCAGCACAGATGTAATGTTAAAATTCTAAGTACTGTTGGGTGGACTTTAATTCAAAAGTAGAGGTAAAGGGATTAGATAGTTCAGCGTTTGCAAATAAAGCAAGGTCATCAGTATGGTCAGAGTGGTTCCCACATCATCCCTTTTTTGTTATGAGTTGTTTTCCCCTGCCAGTCAAGTCCCACCACTACACCAGCCCTGATAACACACTGAGACTCTGTATTAGATACAATTCTGTTGGCCTGTTACTAATTTCTTATTGGCTAGCTCTTTCTTAAATATTAACCCATTTCTATTAATCTAAGTACTTCCACATGGTCTCATCTTATGGGAGAGAGACCCTGGCATTTTTCTCTCTCAGTATCCATCTTGCATCTCCTCCCTACTACTTCCTCTCTCCTCCTAGTCCTGCCTATCTTGCTTTCCTATTGGCCAACAGTGCTTTATTCATTAGCCAATAAAAATTTACAGAATGACATTTCCATCATCCCTTTACCTGGGAATATCTATATTCAATTTTCCAATTTCCCTTGCAGTTGGGAGCTTGCAGCTGACTTCTGGCCAGATATCAATCACTTTACGTTTGGCCTATCAAAGTCTCTGTGATTTTTCTGGATTACTGCAAGACAGCAGATTCATAGGAAGCTTGATGGCTCTATGCTATAAATTGGAGGGTCCCTGGATCTCTAAACCCTTCTCCAGAG